TGGCTAAGGCCTCTCCCTGCAAATCCCTTCAAGTGGCTGCAGCAGGCGACACCACTGACCCTCACTGTTCCTCACTCCCTCGTTGACTTTCCCGGACAGCCTTTGGGCCGTGGTGGCAGGCAGGCCCCTGCCCACCTCTCACCACTTCCACGGCTGGACGTGGGTTTATTTCAGATTTAGGGTGAATAGAGCCTGTCAGACAGCACAGCTTCATCCTGGTACTTTTAGCTCCATTTGGCCTCCTGTGGTTGCTTGAAAAATTAGATATGAGTGCATTTTATGATCACTGGAAAGATGGTCTATAAATAGCCTTAAGTTTATCTTGACCAACCTTACAATCTTGCACTCAATTCACTGTACAGCCCAGGCTTGTCTGGGAAAGACGTCTTCGAACGCTGGGGGCGGCTGCCTTTCTGCTGAATTTAGATACACCGCCACGTCAAGGCAGCTGCCGGCTTTCAGCTTTGCTGGTCCCCAGGCCCCTCCGCCACACGGGCTGCAGTGCACAGCTCAGCAGGGCCAACGACCGAGGTGCAAGGAAGACCAGGTGTTGGTTAACACAGGAGGAGACGTCCCGGGGAACCAGGTCTCAAGGCAGAGCCTCGGAACTGCAGCTCGAAAAATCTCCGGAGGACACCACGGTGTCCCCACCTGCAAGGGGCAGCATCTAAGGCAGGTCCACATTTCCTATCAAATTCCCACGTACTAATTCTTCACAGCCTGGCTTTCTTTCCTTTGATTGACTTTTTTTTATTTGAAGGGAAGGTTAAAAACTAAGGGGTGCCCCTAGGGTCCGTGTCGGGGAAGGCAGGGCACGTGGTGAATATTAAACACATAAACACACGGAGGGGAAACTCAAATTACATGCCCAAAACGTCATTCCCGACTCTAATCGCAGCCATTACGGGACACTAATGGCGAATGAGTAATTTTCCTCTGATTCTCTTTCTGGGAAGTGAACGGCAGCTGTGACATTCTCCTCAGCACTCCGAAGGTCACACGCGAGCTGAGGCGGTTCTTGCGAGGTTCTGAAATACCGCAGAGCTCACACAGCCATCGCCAGTGGGAGCCCCGACCCCCAGAAGTGACAGGGCCAACGCCACCAGTTCTAAGCGCAACATGGAGACTAGGGTTAGATGTCTTCAAGCCAGGGAACACCAAGGCTGACAACTGCCAGAAGCTGGGAGAGGCACGGAACAGACTTCCTGGGACCCAACCCTGTCGGCACCTTGATCTCAGACTTCCGGCCTCCAGAACCGAGAGAGAATAAATCCCTGCTTTAAGCCACCCAGTTTTGCACTACTTTGTTACAGCACCCCTAGGCCTCCCCCGCCCCACACATATGTACACACACCACACACATGTATGTATGTACATACACAGCATACACAGTTAAAAGGATATCTGCCTATACAAATCTGGATTATTTTCAGGGAATCTCGGCCTCCCTATTGAGTTACCCACTTCTGCATTGTCAATTCACTAATTGAAAAACATGTAATATTCAAACCCTTCCCCCACTTGAACTGCATCTTTAAAACTCTCTGAATCTTGTAAGTTGGCTCTCTTCCCTACAAGGATAAAATATCAGCCAAAACATATCACACAATTAAAAGACAACAGATGTTGCCCTCTGGGATGGAGCTAAAATTCATGTGATGTGTCTGATAAAAAGTAGGCTCGGATCTGGAGACGGTTCCGCACCAGCGGTGTTTCCACCCAGAGAGAATTCTGCTCTGCAGACAAGGGAGGCCCTCACCGCGCCCCCTCCCAGCCATCTCCGCATCGCAGCCGCGGCCAGGACCAGGATGGAGGGTATCTGCGCAGTCATTAAGGCAGAAGAACAATTCTGCACAGGCATTAATTAGGGCGGGGGGAGCCAAGAAACTGTTTGGACAGGCAGGTCACACAGGCGCGGGAGGAGCAAAATGCCTTTCCCTGAAAGTAGCTGCCCCCTGGTCACTCCAGCAGTTGTCAGAGAAATGGAGCAGAAATCACAAAGTAACAGTAACACCAAGAAACGGAAAGCTCGCACGGCTCACTCAAAACCCTCAGCCAGGGGCCAACCACAACCCCCTTCAGCCGTGCCCTCGCGTCCGCGTGGGTGAGCAGCACAGGTGAGGCCGGGCTGCAGCCCGATCACTCACATCACTCTGATACTCTCCAGTCATGGGACGACGACACAGCAAATCACATCCCTAATCCACAACGCTGCGCACAGAAAGCTCCGCAATTAACCAAGCACAGGCCACTGATTCACGTTAACTCTTTCCACAGGCATCGAAGTCACGTTCCAGCTCCAGGCCCCCTGATCATGAGGAAGATTTTCAGGAGGGCAAGATCGTGGTAGCTTTTCTCATTTGTTTTCTTTCTGAAACAGCCAGTCATGGCTCCCTCCTGCCACTGCCACGGAACTCACAGGTCACGTGGACATGGAGTGGTCTCGTTGAGAGAGGCAAAGACGGCGGCTACCTGCTCGGTTCCAGGCAGGAGGCCTGGCCCCGGGACGCGCAAGTGCACCGGGCATGGGCAGGGCCTGGACTCACGATTCTTTCAGCACCGCCGGCTCCTGGCACACACCACTGCGCACACCTGGGCACCGGGCTGCTGTAAGCTCCCTGCGCCCCCGTGGACGACCCCTTCCACTGGAGTCCCAAGGTGAGAGGACAGGTGCCTGCGGTAGCTCTGGCAGGGCGTGAGGAAAGATCACGGACGATCCTCCCACCGACCCGGGAGGCCTGGAGCACACGGACCCATAAAGGGATGAGACAGTCCCACTTTGCAGATGAAGAAAGGGCTGTCCTTCCTGGCACTCGCCTATGCTGCTACCCTTAAAAATAACGTATTTTGAAACAGTATGTGATCCTACGCAATTTCCACAGAGTAAAACGGGTGCAATTCTTACTTCGATGTATGAACATTCAAGGGAAATGCCTTTGTGTTAATCAAAACATAAGGGCCCATTATGTGTCGCAGAGAGGTCACAGTTGGGCCCAGATATGACTGAACAAACTGTAAGTGCACAAAGGGAAAACTGCTAAAAGCCACCATAATGACAAAACGGCAGCACAGGGGAAAGGATGTCATGAGTGAGATGCGGCCCTTGCTCTTCCTGAAATACCACAGAGCTCGCACAGCCATTGCCAGTGGGAGCCCCAACCGCCAGAAGTCACAGGGCCAACGCCACCAGTTCTAAGTGCAACATGGAGACTAGGGTTAGATGTCTTCAAGCCAGGGAATGCCAAGGCTGACAATTGCCAGAAGCTGGGAGAGGCACGGAACAGACTTCCTGGGACCCAACCCTGTTGGCACCTTGATCTCAGACTTCCGGCCTCCAGAACCGAGAGACAATAAATCCCTGCTTTAACCCACCCAGTTTTCCACTACTTTGTGACACCAGCACCGCCCACACCAGACACCTGAACCCCAGGGCGAGAGAAGCCAGAGCAACAGCAGCCTAACCTGGGGCTGGCCACGCACCTCCCAGCAACCCCAGAATGAAATCCAGAGAGATCGGGGGCTGGAAGGCAGATTTACTTGGAAAAGGAGATCCTTCCACTTGCAGTTGAGTTAACCTCCACATAACCTCCGCAGTAGTTAGCCCTGAGCTGTCAGTGAAAAACCCATGGAAAAGGCTCTGACTCCCCAGGTGCAATCAAACTGGCTGTGGCTAAAATTCACACTCAGCCGCAAAGGAACCACTAAAACCAGCACAAACCAGGGATGGATCTCGGGAAAGGAGCCGGAAAGACAATGGGGAAAAAATGCCACCTTTTCTCACTTCTCCAAACCTTGCAATTTTCTTGCAGCCGTATGTATTTCTCATGGGAAAGCCAAGCCCTCATGTTAACCTCTAATCCTCCCAAATCATCACTGCAATACGGATAACAAAAAAAGGGAGCCTTTCCCTGGTGTGATCACCATAAGGAGCTTACACAATCACAAAATTCTGCAAAATAGTGACAGGGCCCCACGCAAAGCCCGCCAGAGAATTCCATACTTTTCTGGATGGTTCCACGGTATCCGGGACAGAGTTAAATATCAGAACAGGTGTTACAGGAAACATGTGAAGCTACTCAGGACTACTGCTAAAAAGACATCTAAGGGACAAAACAGGGTGAAATGTGTAACTTAAAAAAAAAAGATAAAATGAACCAAAATCCATGATACACAGAACGAGGAGGGAAGGGAACGCTACAGTACAAAGTCGCGCCTCTCCTCTCTCTCCGAAACAAGACAAGCGCCGCCACGAAGAAAGTGTATAGTTACCTGCGTCCATGTCTGCAAAGAATGGAACAGCCAGTAAGAAAAAGAAGGAACCAGAAATTCAGTGTCTCAAAGTTGGATTTAAAAAGGTTACACGGAGAGAAAATATAATATAGAAAATTGCTGGTGAATTACACCTTGATTAGGGGACACAGGAACCAAATGGTTTCCTACCATTATTATCATAATTTTATTTAAAGCAAAAAACAAAACATGAATATGTTTAACGGAAGAAGTAAATGCCTAATGGCAAAAGAAATGTCTTATTCTCATGCAAAATGATTATTAAATGTTTATAATACAATATAAGGGGGAAACAAACGTATGGTGGTGGTAATCTGAAAGAATCATCTAGAACGGCTCTTACCTATGACTCAGTAACACTATACACTTATTACGTCTAAATTCAATATCCAGATCAGAGAACTGTCTGGCCAATATTTAAAGGACTAACAGTGGATTAAAAAGGACATTTGAGAGGACAGAACTATTAGATAAGAAATAAATTCAACAGCATTCCATGGTTCTACTCGCTTACTCCCAATGCCAAAGTGAATATAATGGGCTTGCTAAAAATACTACAAAAGAAACAATATACTTAAGGATTTTTACTGCTTGGTATGTGTTATTACTTTCTTGACATGTGATACATCAAAGTAATGATTTAGAACATGCTAAACAAAAATTTTACAAACTACATTCTTGAGCTCTCAACTGCCTGCCATACAGCATACCTTCAGGAGACTCCTCCTGCACGTACGTGCCGGTCAGGTACCGGTGCACCAGCGCCGACTTGCCGCTGGCCAAGTTACCCACAATTCCCTGCAACAAAGAAGCGGACAAACGTTAAGGATAATTAGATCGGTCTCTTTGGCATTCTGCAAATGGAGGTTAAAATATACGGTAACCCTAAACATAAACATAACCAAGCATTGGCTGGGAGGCCAAAAATGAGCTCATCAAATGCTTCTGCTGGGGTAAGAGGGAGTCCAACACCCTCAATTAGCATCTCACGTCCTCATCAGCCTCAACAGCCACAAGGGCATCAAGACTGTCGGTGCAAACCCCGGTCTGGCATTCATCCAGACGACAAGGGTGCAGTTTACGTCGGGACTGTGTATGCTGAGTCAGCTGCCAACATCCACCGTGGACCGTTCCCATGCTGAGAAAGGCACCAGGTGAGACAGCGCAGGATGGCGGTACAGAGAAACGCGGGGACAGCGGCGAGAACGTGGTGTGTTGCATCATGAGAGGCTGTGGCTGGGACAGACGGAGGTGGGGGGGGAGGGCTAGAGGAGCAGGAGAGTGGGCTGGAGAGAACTGGGGTGGGGGAGCTTGGCAGGGGCACCCAGATGGGGAGGACGGCAACCCGCCTCTCCGGAACTCAGGATCCACGGCAGCAGCACTGAGAGAAAGGACAGAGCGGGGCTGGTGCGAGAGGCGGCACAGGTGCTGGTGTGCACAGGGTTAGAAAATAACCCTCAGGAGTTCTGGAGGACCCGGCAGGCACGGCTGACTCCCCCGGGGCTGCCTCCAAGGAAACCTCCCTGTTAACACCGCGGAGACACCTGGCCTCCAGGTGGGCCAGGCCCCTGAGAAGTCTCCCCTTTGCCTGTGCTCGAGACCTCAACCCCCCTCTGCCTTCTCTGGAAAGCAGCTCATCAACAGTCCCCTCCTGTATTTTGATCTTTTCCTCCCCCACTAGAACGTGGCTATCTGCATTGAAACAAGATCCAATCAATCCTTTAGGAAAAACAAAACATCAGAGACCCTCGTGGACATCGCCTCCCTTTGCCCACCAGAGCTCTGCTGCTCTTGTGCCCACACTGGCCTTCTCCCGCCTCCACCAAACAACCGGAGGTCCTGACCCTGTTGCTACAAGGAAGCTGCCCACAAGGTCACCCACGACTTCCATTTCTACGACCACTGGTCCTTCTTGCTCCTGCCCCAGCCCCGGCACCGGAAGCTGCTGACAAGATTCTCTCTCTTCCCACTCTCACCCTGGGGCTTCCTCCACCTCCCTCGCAGCCCACGTGGGCTCTTCCTCCAGGTGCCCTCCTGACTCCTCCCCCCACATCTCCAGGTGATCCTCAATTCTAACGTCCAAGGGCGCCTGTCCACACCCAACCTCCTATCAATAAGCAACCAATTCTTAAATCTTGTTCTCCTCCGCCCCAGCTCCAGGTGTTCCTACCCAGCTCCTGCCAAAACTACACAAGCTTTTCGTATACACCTGTACACCATCCGGGGAGGGATCCAAACCTCTACGCACACACACCTTGGCCCTCTCCCCAGTCTGCCCATCACCTGCTACAGCCACATTCCCACTCAGCCTCTCCAACCAGAAATCTGGAACCCCCCGGACGCCCCCGAGCCTATAGTCTCAGAGTCCTTTGCCTCTGAGCACCCTTGCCCTCACGTCACTGCAGACTCTGTGGCCACTGGATGCAGGAGCAGCCTGTCTGTTGTCACCCCCCCGCCTAGGAATCCCCCTCTTCACCCTGAAAGCACCAGCGAGACCCTTGGAAACTGACAATGGGAAAATGATACTCCCTCATCTCACAACCCTTGGGGAGACTCCTACTGCCCGGAGCCAAAGGTCAAATGTGTTAGGAACACGCTGCCTCCCTCCACATCCTCACCATCTTGCTGTGACACAGCGGCCCAGCAGGTCTGTGAACTCCCACACGACACTTCACTCTTCCTTCACCTGGTGCCCTCCCCACTTCACCTGGTGAGAGTTTTTACTTTCTCTTTGGGAGGTTCCCTGCTCCCCCGACCCCACACGCCACAAGGCCTTGCACTGGGACAGGTGACATTCTTGGTTCCATCTCCCACTACACTCGGGTCCCTAGAGGCCAAGGTCTATGTCTCTGGACACTTAGCACAGCTCCTGGTCCCAACAAAATGGCTATAAACACGGAATGGGAGGGAGGGAGGGAAGGAAGGAAGGAATTGTGTAGACAGAAAGGAGGAAGAAAGTTTAGTTGAGTGGACGATGATAACAGTAACTACAAGACCCAACAGAAGACGACAAATTCGGCGTGAGATTGCAGAAAATCAAAGTTCTAGGTCATTACCAGACCCCTCAGCTGCTGTCTGTGTGAGGGCACCTCCACTGCCCGTCCTTCCACCAGTCCCGAGTGCTCCCACCCCGAAAGGAGCGACCTTCCCAACACCCACAGCCTGCCCTGTCCTCGCGCACCACTCTCGGCCGGCCCTTCAGTCTCCCGGCTGCCCACCCCTGCTTGGCCGTCTACAGACCAGCTACCAAATCGCATCCCAGAGGCCTTCCTTGCTCTCTCTAGACGCCTGGACCGCTTCACATCAATCACTGCCCAAAATCCTACTTCTATCCACGGGTCAGCAACCAGCTCAGCTGTCACCTCCTCTGAGCCGCCTTCCGCTATGGTCTGAGTATTTGTGTCTCCCCAAAATGCACATGTTGAAACTCAATCCCCAAGGGGATGGTATTGGGGGTGGGGCCTTTGGGAGATGACGAGGTCCTAGCAGAGGATTAGTGTTCTTATAAAAGAGGCCCGAGAAAGACCCCTTTCCTCTGTGCTGTGAGGACACAGCAAGCAGATGCCATCTACAAACCACAAGACAGGTCCTCACCTGACATCGAATCTGCCAGTTCCTTGATCTTGGACCTCCCAGCCTCCAGAACTGTGAGAAATACATTTCTGTTGTTTATAAGCCACCCGGTTTGTGGCATTTTGTTACAGCAGCCTGAACAGACCAAGACCCCTTCCGAATGCCAGTCTCAACTAGATGCCTCTCCTCAAAGCCCCCCTCGTCCTCTGCTCACCAGGCTACACTGCAACTGACATGTTAATTCACAAGCATCAGCATGTGGGTCTGACCCTTTCCAATGCTCACAGCTCCCCGAGGGCAGGGACTGTGTCCTGTTCATCTTGTTCCCTATACCCCAGCGTAGCGCCCAGCCCCAGGTGACGCTCAGTAGCACTGGCAGAGTGAGTGAGTGCCCAGTGCCAGCGAGGATGAATGAGACGCTTGCTTCACTACCAAGGCTCAGAGCCGGGCTCAAAGCCAGACTACGTGGACAGATCCTAAATAAAGCTGTTTCTCCTCCTGATTTGACTTACATCTTCTTTTACCTTGGGCCTCTATAATCTGAGAACTTCTACCTACTAATTATTCTTTTGCTCCAGGGCACCTGCTGTGTGTCAGCTTCGTGCTGAGAAAATCCACAACAGTACGCCACAGAATTAAATTTTTAATTAAGATTAGAGTTTCTCTTTCCTGAAGAAGAAAACGCTCAGAAATCAAACACTGCTCAGCCTGTGCTTTCTCTGGCAGCAACATTCCTCCCTTCTGCCATGCAAATGGCGGGCGAGGATTTGGCTCACCCTCAGGAGGACAGTATCGGCCTTGGGGACGGAGCGGGAAGGGGATTTATTTGGTCTGAACGACCACCTCACAGACCATCTTATATTTGTACATGATGAGCACCATTTTATTTGAAACACTGGCGGACGCTAACAGCTGACTGTGAGGAGGAGATAAAATATGGGACCGAAATGTCCCTTAAGCTGTGGCGCAGCTCCCTTCGAAGCTGGGAACTGCCGCTGGACGTCAATCAGAGGGGAGGGAACGGACCCAGTGCAGGCCCAGGGCTCTGTGGGGGGAAACGAGGTGTGCTGAAAACTGCAGAACTGCGCACGCCGGGTGGGTGGAGGTCGTCACCACGGACCCCGCATCATCCGCGCAGGGCCACGAACGGTCAGAGCCCAAGCCCAGCACCTTCGTGTCACGAGATGGAAGGGAGCGTGGCGTCTTCTCTCCAGCTCCCCACACTCCACCACTTATCTGCTAAACTTGAGCGTTGCTGCAAAGGAAACTTGAGGCTTTTAATAAAAATGCCAGTTGGGAGTTCAGTGGAAACACACACACAGGACGTGAGGCGTTGGGCGCCTGAGGTCCCCTCCGAGGCAAGACATCTAAGGTATGTTCAATCTTTCCAACAGAGGGACGCATGGAGCCCACGGTGCCGGACACAGCTGCAGGGACCAGCACTGGGACCCCCCTGCTGCACCGAAGCAGCCAGTCAGGGACAATCAGGCCATAACTCAACTCCAGAAAACGTAAGGATGGCACTACCACTCTTGAAAAGAAAGCAAACATTGAACTTCTTTTTCTCTGATGGGTTCCAGGAGATTTATTGCAAAACATTACATAAAGCGTCCATTGCAGGCTGGCTATGACCTCACTTTGTCGCTGCACTTGCGAAGTAGGGGCAGGGGCTCCTAAGGCGCTGACCTAAGGGGCCACCTGTCCCGGGGGCGCTGCGCTGGGGGAAACAATCACAGCCCTGTGGGCGCTCAGGGGCTGCCCTGCAGAACAAAGGAGCACTTTCTCCAGACCCCGGCGCTCCCCGGCACACGAGGGATCAGCAGAGGGTGGCGATGAAGATGCGCCGCCTGCGGGCGCCATGTCGGGAGGGTGCCTGGCCCAGAGCCAAGCTGGTGGTCCTGTGGGGTCGTGTACGTCCACACACAGGTCAGGGGATAGGACTCTTCCTCCTAACGAACCGCAGAACCGTGAACACTGACCCGTCCGTGAGTGGAGTTAACCCTTCACGAATTCAAGCCTGGAGACAGTCACGTTTTCGGGATGAGAGCACACACTGCCTTTTCACGATTGCCTCTTACACCTCTGGACAGACACTCCTCAAAGTCAGATGCTTTTGCAATACTAGCAGAGAAGCTAGTAAGGATCCTCAGTTATGGTCTGTACGAGCACATGGGCCCTCTCGGAACACACGACACCTCGCACTGCCCAACCTGGTCTAGATCAGATGGTTCAATACCGGACAGTCAGTCTGCAATGCTCTGTCAACGGGTGGCCCCTGGCCCCACAGGGCTGTTTGAACTTGAAAAAACTAAACTTAAATAAAAACTTAAAACTCAGCTCCTCAGTCACACTGGCCACGTTTCAACCCCTCCACAGCCACACAGGGCCAGTAGCTACCACACTGGGCGGCACGTACGGGAGGTTTCCACTGCTGAGAAAGGTCTAGTGGGCAGTGCTGAGGTGGAAGCACCAAGCCCAGTTCTGTCACTTACTTGCTGCGGCTCCCTGGGCAAGTTCTTAATGCCTCCGAGCCTCAGTATTCTCATCTGTGAAAGGCGGGTGATAACGGTCCCTACCTGTGGGGTGGTTGTCAGGGTTAAATGAGATGATTTTGTAAAACACTCAGAACATGGCGCACACAAAGTCGGGGCTTCATAAGCATCGTCACCATCCGTGAAACACCATTCCTGCTGCTCCGCGCTGGACGCAGAGCCTGAATGGCACTCGGGTTGTCTCAACAGGGCGTATCTGAAACTGGCAAATCTTGTGACAACCTCCTGGTAACAACACTGCCAGTCTTGTGTCACTCACTGGACAAATATTTCCTGAATGTCTCCCGTGGGATTAATACTGTGCGGGCACCGCAGTTACAGCGCACACAAAAGACAGAAAGCGGTGCTGTCCCAAGGCCAGTCTTGAGGAACCCCAGGCTTCTGCAACGGGCAGGGGCAGTGACAGGTACTTTGTCTCCCACGGGGAAAGGAGCCCGTTGGGAGGTGCCGCAGAGAAAGGGCAGCAACCCAGAGGGAGGGACGAGGGGGAGCGGGAAGGAGGTGGGTCCAGGCACTGATCGCAGCGGGGACGGGGCCTGCCAGAGGCTGACAGAGAGACGGTGTGGGGACCAGCGCCCTCCCATCTCAGGACACCCCCACTCATCATCCTGTATCTAAGTCTAAAAGCATGTATTCTTCCTGGTGACAAAAGTCCTGTATGCTCTCTTCAAGGACCTGAAAGCTCTATCTCCATCTCAGACATGAGAAACCTGATGGGTCACGCCCAGGCCCCTGTCCCATTCTCTAAGCACCCATGAGGCTGGCGTCCGGGAGAAGGAGACGTCCACTGGCCTCTGTGGGCCTGGCTGGGTTGCTGGGAAGACAGTGTGGAGCTGTGAACAGGGGACAGAGACACTGGGACTAAGCAGGCCATACTGAAGCCACATTTCATCAGTATCTGCTGCCCAGAGCTCATCTGCTGTCCTTTCACGGTCAGGGCCCAAAGCTCAGCAAACTAGAAAATATACATACATGCACATAAAGAAACATATATACACACACAGACATACACATATACACACACGCATATATACTGACATGCACACCCACAAACATATGCACACAGACACACACACATAGACATATGTACACAGAGACATATGCACAAACACATACTGACATGCACATGCACACACACAGACATGCACACATGTATAGACATGCATACACAGAGACATATACACACATAGAGACATGCACGCATAGATATACACACACAGGCATATACACACATATAGACATGCACACACACAGAGACATATATATACCTCTGGGGATATATACAGGGGCAGATGTGTATAGACATGTGTACAGAGATATACACATATAGATGTGCACACGCGCAGAGATGTGTACACACATACCGAGACATATACACGCATATATAGAGACATGCATACATAGATATACACACATATAGGCATATACACACATACATATAACATACACAGACATGCACACACATATATACAACTAGAGACACATGCAGAGACATACAGACATGCATACACACATATAGACATACACATATACATACAGACGAATATACACGTCATACCTATACAGGCATATGTACATTCATGTACACATGTATAGAGACATACATATACACACATATAAGCATATACACATAGACGTGTAGGCATATGCGCACAGAGACATATGTACATATACATACATACGTATACATGAACACCCATACACATGGAGACATGCATAGACACCCATACAGACATATATTCACATATATACAGAGGCATACACATAGAGACATACAGAGGCATAGATACAGATATACACATAGACACACACAGACATGCATACACACATAATAGACATGCATAGAGACATGCATATACATATATAGACATACACATAGATGCACATATACATGCACATATACACAAAGATACAGTCTTACATAAATATACAGACATAAACATACACACATAAAGACACATACACATGTACATATAGAGACATGCATACAGATACACATACACGTGCATACATATGCACGCACACAAATGCCACATATTTCACGACAAAGAACACCATCATTTACGTTACATTTTTCCCCTCCTGCCGTCCTAAGGTGGGGTAATGCAGTCGGGAGGGGCTCAAAGGGGCGGCTGTGCTAGACCACTTCTTTCTTACACCAATTTTAAGCTTTAAATAATTTCATTGAAAAGGTAAATTTTACAATAAATGACAAAATTCTTCTTTTAATTTTATGCCAATAATACTTTGTAACAGGTAAACAGTCACTTTTTCAAAGCCTGATGGCTCATTACAGAAACCTTCCATGACATCCTGCACAGGGCGAATAAACCCGTGGCTGTGAGTGACTATGAGTGACTGTGTGTGTGTGTGTGTGTGTGTGTGTGTGTGTGTGTGCGTGTGTGCATGTGCATGTAAGTGAGAGAGCTACAGACACACACACACACAGGGAGGACACAGGAGGATGATGATGGCTCCTGCCCTGCACACGGACTTCACCCTGGCTGGGTGGCTGCTATGGCTGCCACAGGTACACCCAGGGCTCCAGCCGGGGTCCAGGCTGCACCTGGACCTTCCCAGGGCCAAACCCAGAGTCACACATCACCTCCGGGCCCCAGGGGATGACAGTGCCCAGGTATGCAAGGTTGGGTGCTCTCACATGGTCACATCTGCCCCTTGCAGAGCCCCCTCCCTTCCCGCAGATGGGAGATGACAACCGCCAAGGCCAGAAGGAAGCACTCACCACTTTGAGCTCCGGGACAGAGCGACTCAACGTCCATTCCTGGCTGTTCACAAAGGCGTCTGTAAAAGAGGAGAGCAAAAGCAGTCAGATGCCACAGCTCACCGAAAGCCAAGTCAAAATGCCCCCAACGCGCCATGTTTCCAACTGGAAGGCCACTGAAGACGGTGCAGACCAGCCTCCCTGTGTCACTCCCACCATGGATAGGTCACCATTCCCCAAGTTCGCGCAGCTCAGCCAGAGGCCAGCCTGGCGCTCCGACTGCAAGCCCGTGGTCTGGAACACACACTCTGCCCAGTGACCGTGAAAGGCCGAACTACCGGCTCCCCGGCTCAAGCCACAGGCCGTCCTGCTGTCCAGCGTGTATTTTCAGACCCTCCTGACTGCACCGATTCACAAGTGTGGGGTCTTTCAGGAAGCGCCTGGCTTTCCTGGAAGTGACCCTGTTATAGCCAGTCGGTCTACTCTTAGTCCTTTTTCTTTCTTTCTGAAATAGTCACTTTTCTGAAATCCCATATAAAAAGCATGAAAAATGATGATTGGATTCTGAAAATCTAAGTGGTCACAATATAAGCAACAGTTTAGGGTTTAGAAGACAGACTTGGCACCGGAATTCAACCCTCACAAAGATATTAAACACTGTTATATAGAGACATGCATACATAGATATACACACATACAGGCACATACACATATACATATAACATACACGGACATGCACACACATACACATATATACAACTAGAGACACATACACATGCACACACAGAGACATACACAGACATGCATATACACATATACACATATGTCTGTAGGGTAGGACAGGGTAGGGTATGTCAGAAAGATGAGGGACCCAGGCATTGTGGGGCCGTGTACCCCCACCTCCGCTGACCAGCCATCCCCAGGGCACCCGCCAGTTCAGGTGACCCAAACGACCACAGCTTTACTCGCCATCTGATTTTCCACACCCCCATGTGCCATTTCTTACCATAAATGAGACCCCACAGTGACACCATGAGACGTGCAGACAACCACACAGCAGCCCCGTCAGCACAGAGTGGGCTGTGAAGAGGGGGCACAGAGGGCAAATACCTTCTCCGAACGGCATTCCCTTTCTAACGCATTGTCCTCAAATGTTGACACTTGTTTACAGTATGTCCAAGAAGTGAAGTGATTGACAAAACATCTAAAGGTCAAGAAAAACCGTCACCTTCAAACAAGTGCGTGATACTCAAATCAAGCGTGGGACGTGGGACGAAAGCCGACAGCCTGGCTGTGCGGCTCCACCACGCACAGGATGCAGGAGGACAACAAACGCGTCGAGGAGGCCGGGCAGCCTGGGGCACCACAGTCCACGGGGACATAAAGCAGGGTGGGCGACCACAGCCCATCAGATGCCAGGGACCCCGCAATGACTGGGGCAAGGTCTCCGGATGCTGAGGAGGTGGGACGCCCAGCAGAACAAACTCCTGCTGGGGAAGGGACGGCTGGATAGGCCAGACCAGTGGCCTCAGGAAGCTGGGAGTGACACAGGGCCATAAAGTCTGGAGTGATCCTGAAAGGTCAGCTGCAAGCTGTTAGGGGTGGTGTTCCACAGCAGAGACGCTGCACTTCCGGGGCACGAAACAAACTCCTGTCCAGCTGCAGAGGCCCATCTGCAGGGGCTTGGGAGCAAGAGTAAGGGCCCTGAGCAGACGGCTGGGAGGCGGCGTCTCCCTGCACTGCCCTCAAAGACTCCAAGTTATTAATCCTCCACACTCCTCCTCGGGACTCAGTACCGGGGGTACAAGTAAGTTGTGCCCCTGAACATCCACCCTTTGGCCAGCCAAACCCCCCTAACACGCCCCAGACAAAACATCCCCGTCAAGAGATGAAGCGCAGACCGCTGTCAGGCACAGGCCGGACGGACACTCGGGAGGTGCTCAGTCAATGGTAACCAACACCGTTTTCTAACATCAGTGGTAAGCCTGCCAATCAAGTCGCAAAACACTCATCTGTCACCAACTGCTCTCTAGAGAAAATGGGAATGTAGCCCTTGGACCTGCAGAGTGAACCTGCTGGTCCCAGGAAGACTGAAAGGTCAATGACAGTGACCCTCCCAAATGCACGTCCCAACAATGTTCAGCTTCTCAGGTCACCCTGTTGCTGCACTGTTAACCAACTCCAGCCCTGGTGAAGTAAAGTTGGATACATCCACATAATGGAACACTAAACAGTCAACAAAACCGACTCAGGTCTCAGCGGGTGAAGTGGGACCGTCCCCCAGATCCCCACGCTAACACCAAGTGATGACAGCAAGGTGTGACACAGATGTACAGGATCCTAACATACACGTTTTTTAAGGGTATGGTGGGAGGAAGGTTAATGTGTAAAATACACACATGCCTGTCGAGACTATTTCTGTTAAGATTAAAAATGTAACAGTCGCTGATTTAGGGTTAGGGAGGCAGGTGGTGGAGGACAGGGTGATGAGAAGACTTTCCTGTCACTGTTACCTTTTGGCACCTTTTAAATTGTATACCATGTGGCATGTAAGAAATTAAACAATGTAGTTTTAAAAATGAACCTTAATAGTAAAACAAAGAGTACAGTGTGAAATAAAATGAGGTCAATTCATTAATGTACTGCTGATTTTTAAACACCATCAAAAGATTAAGTTTATAACAACAAATATTAAATATTCGTTGTAAATTAAACAGGGCTCCATTAAACACAGATGTATGATTACAGAAACACTGGAAGAATGTGTGACATCTTTTTACTTTCAAATACTTTCAACTGAATGGAATATATTTGTTTATGGCAACTACATTAATAAAATAAATGCTTAACTGGCAAGAAAAGCGTTTCATCTTCCATTAAAAATCAGGTATTTTAAAAACTTTCACCTCCTCCGCCATCACCCGTTAGAATGGAATGCTGCCCTACACACGGTAAGTGAAAAACAACAAAAAATTCAGGAAAAGACTTACGTACCAGAATGTTCCTCCATCCTACCCTTTCCGTGGACTGGACACAATGCGCAGCCCCTCTGCGGGCCAGCGCATCACACCACGAGGGGAGAGACCGCCAGGGACCCAGCCGGGCAGTGCGCTATTTCATTTTGAGCTCCATGGGGCAGCAACCCTTGAAGTATACGCGTGCTTCAGGGAATACCCTGGGCGCGTGCGCGACTGTGTGTGTACCAGTGTGAGTACACAAGCCTGTGTGTGTGTGTGTGCGTGTGCTCCAGGACAGGACCAGCCACAATACAATATCACAGAAGATGTCCCCACGTTCAGAAGTGTTTCACTGTGTCTACTGACAGCCCCTGGTGATGCCAACGATCATCTCCTGAGAGCTCACGTGTGCCAGCTCAGTCACCACCTCAGCCCGGGAGCGGAGCTGCACAGGGCGGGCCACTTGGGAGAGGTCCCATCAGCAGTGCCAGATTCTAAACTCCTTCCTCATTACCTGCTGTGCTCTTCAAAGTGTGCAGGCCTCAGACTCACGTGGGACATCAGGCAAAGCTGGCAACAGGTGAGCGTTGGCCAGAACTCTGGAGGCGAGAACCTCGGAATTTGCACTTCTAAGGGGCGCCCCATGGAATGCCTTTGCCCACATCTTATGACTCTACGTCTTCGGTGTTTCAAAATTTGCTAAGTGGATGCCACAAAAGTGCAATCCCGAGAGCAGGAATTTCTCAGGAAACGTGAAAAAGGAGCGCAGGTTGTCACAAACAGTGCTGTAGTTACAGAGCCAGTAACACGGACCATGGATGTGCTCCGGGCTTTTCCACCTCATGTCCACAGGCCCACGGGTCACGGAGGCCAAGAGCAGGCAGAGGGGACTTGTGTGAGGGACCCGGGAGCCAGGAGCCACAGGTTTGACAGTGACCTTGGGTAACTTTCCTGGTCTAACACTCAATTTCCTCACCTACAAAACTGAAATATTTCTCTCCTGCGGATCCTGGGAGGTTTCAAGACAACGTTGCCTGTGGCCTAGGACGGGACCAGACCACGCACAGGGGCAGCCTCCCTGCTGCCTTTAATCACACCCCCAAAGAGCAAGGCGTCTGATGCCCTGGTTCCTGGGTGCTCTGGCCACATGTCTCCAAGCAGGGAATGCCACCTGCTCGGAGACACGTGGACACACTCTACCTGAACTCACTGTGGGGCTGGGGCCACAGGTGACAATGGGACGCAGGCAAGCCTGAATTATTTAATAACACACGCCCAAGAAGTCCTGATCAAGCAATCACACCACAGCCATCAAAAATCATAGTTCTGGCTGGATGTGGTGGCTCACACCTGTCATCCCAGCACTTTAAGAGGCCAAAGTGGGAGGATCCCTTGAGGCCAGGTCTTCTAGACCAGCCTGGGCAAACATATCGAGACCCAGTCTCTAAAAAAATAAAAAATAAAAAATATCAGCCACTGTGGTAGCATGTGCCTATAGTCCCAGCTACTTGGGAGACTGAGGCAGGAGGATCACTTGAGCCCAGGAGTTCAAGGCTGTAGTGAGCTATGATCACACCACTGCACTCTAACTGGGGCAACAGAGTAAGACTCTGTCTCAAAAAAAAAAAAGGGCGGGGGGGAGAGAGAAAATCAGTTCAAAGAGACCCACTAACTCCCAAGAGAGCAAAACAAGCTATTCATAGAAGGTATTACCAGAGTTAGTTTTCATCCGAGGCCAATTTATCGCACTGAACCACACGGACTCACTGTTTTGAAGGTGGTAAGTGGCTGAGTAACTGCAATTTCATATGGTTCAACCCACAGCACATAAGTATGAGTAGAAAAAAGTCATCCATGTGGTTTAGCTGCTAACAGATATCAGAAATTCTACAGAGTTGAAAATAACCCTGCAAACGCCTCCACTAAGCCTATCTTAGCATCCTATCTCAGCGAAAAACAGTAGGCTCAAAGGACTGAGGCCGGGGGACTATGACAAAGGAAAAGACCTTTCGGAGGACCTGAACTGAGCAGACAGTGCGCCACCTTCCCAGCCTGCAGGATCCCGGATGCGAAAGGACCAGGGAGGTGTCTTTCTAGTCAGGCCCCAGCTCCACGGCGTCCCT